CTGAACCAGAACAGTTTGTTTAGTTACAGAAATTGGATTGCAATTCTAATTGGTCAGTTTTACAAATCGCCTTTAAAAATGTAGTTAGTACTCTTGCTGGATACAATTTTCTTATACTTGCTCTTGTCTCTTAATCACATGTGCAAACAGCATTGGAAATAGGAGTCCTCTTGTTGATGTCGTCTGAACCCCAAAAGAGCATCAGATTGAGGTCTTCAGGTTTATTTTCAGGTTTTCTTACAAGGTGCAACATGATTAACCGCCTGGTTTACTTACTAGACTTTCATACCCACAAACATTCTGATAATAAGATCTATGCATTTATTTCATTATGGATGCAGCTGTATAGATGGCTCATGTACAACAAACTAAGCTACAGCAATTTTCAGTCTTAAAGGTTTTGATTTGTTTGATTTATCATATAATTGCTGAGATTTTTTTAAATGCAGACGTATTTAGTATTTTTTTTCTTCTAGTTATACCCTTACTGTTTCATATCTCCTTTTAGATATCTGTGATATAATGTTGCTAACTCTTTTCACACTCCAAAGGGAAAAAACCAGAAGCACACTATATGCATGAATGGAACTAATAACTAGATGAACAGAATATGCATTCACGTGGCACCTTTCATCTACACGGGATTTCAAAGCACTGCTGAGTACTACACTTTGGAACTTTAGTCACAAACCATCGTAGCGGAGTTAGCCCAGCAGCGGCTTGCAGCCGTCTTCTGCCAGCACGCTAAATATTTGCAATGGGTTTGCACAGCATAAAAGCGTTCTCAAAACCCGCTAATATTGTGCCCCTCTGCAGTATAAGGCAAGCTGCAAAATGAACAATTTCACATTTTTTTGTATTCAGCTGCATTCTGATTTCTCACCACCCAAATCTGGGTTAGCTCTAGGTGTCTCAAAATATCAATAGCGACGCAGAAGCTTTAATATCCTCAACGGAGAAAGGACCTTCATTTAATACGAAAATCCAACAGCATGAGTATTTCCAAGTGCTCTGCCAAAGTGTCGCTTAGAGACTGAGTTGAATGAGAAGGTATTCCCTGATGAGCTACCAACACCCCTGCTGCAGCATCTGACGCTCTTTGGAGGCCACTCCTCTTCAGTACTGACCCAGTAAGACCCTGCTCAGCTGCAGATATCTCACAAAATAAAAGCCCACAGTACAGCAGCACAGCTATGAACAAGACAAAACAATGACATACTAGTTACTATACTATCTAACTCTTTCTATATGGAGACCATATTATCTAGCTAACTTTCCTTTTTTTTTTTCTGCAGGTTCAACCCGTAATTCGTGTCCTATAACCCTTGTACTTTAGTAAATTATTTCCTTGAGAGGTACAGTTGAATTGTGCAATGATGAGCATGTGTCAAATACAAAAATAAACACTATACAAAATAAGTGTAGAAATGTGCAGTCTGCTGCAAAATCACCTCAGCTTCTAGCTCTCTGGTAACTTTTAGAGGAAAAACTTAAAAACATTGAAACCTGCTCAGAACGTAATCTTTAAAAAGCCAGGTCCAGAATATGTCTCTTACATTAATATTATCGCTAATGTTATTACTTCCTCTTGCCAGTGACAAGACCACTACAGTCTGGCCTCCAAGAACTACTGATAAGATTTAAATTCTTGGTTTTATGTAATTTCTTTTGTAATTTCCTTCCGTTTCTTCTGCGTAAATACGAAATAAACCAAGGTTAAAATATAATTTTGTTATATGAAAAATTTCAAAACAAACCATCGTAATTTACTTGAAACATAACTATAAAAAATGAGGAAATAATCACAGAATGCTAGGAGTTGGAAGGGACCTCAAAAGATCATCTAGTCCAACCCCCGAAAGAAGAGAGCTATCCCCTGAAGTGTAACTTGGCATATGGAAATTTACCATCCTCAAAGTTAAGAAAAAGGAAAAAAAAACCCGAAAGTATCACATGCATACAAAACCTATAATAAGTCTGTTCGTACTGTAGAGTTGGTAACTCAAATAGAAAAATCAATGGCAAATGACAGATGTGGAAACCTAATTATAATTTCCAAAAAATGGCACTTAAGAACAGAAGTTCACATTAAGTGTTTTCCTTAGTGAAAATCTCCATATCTTTCTCCCCTGATAATGGTCTTCGTACTCAGCATTTTAGTACAGCATCTTGCCAGAAGATTTTTAGTGGTGGAAGGAAGAAACAGAAAATATTGTCAAGTCTCATTAACTGCTCCTGGCAGTTGAATGCCTAACCCTCATTTTACTACTAAATACTTAAAATGCTGTTCAACCTCCCACCCCAATAGAACTAAAATTAAATTCTCTGTTCCCCAGAGTTTTAGTTTAAGCTGACACAAAATGATAAACTGAAAATAACCTGCCCAAACAAAAATATCTTCTTGTGTAAACTCTCGCCTTGTAACACAAAAAAACCCCATCAAGGTTCATATTGTTCCCTTGCCACAAGCTTGCAGTTAAGCACATCAGATGCCATGGACCACTACATCTGAAGAAAAGTCCTTAATTATGCAGAGCTTACTCAGAAGTTTCAGGCACTTTACTGCTTTATATTTATATATTTTACATTTTAATTTCAGAATTGACATTTCTGAAGCAATACATATTTCGCATCACGTAGAGCTAATATCACAGAATCACTGAGGCTGGAAAAGCCCTCAGAGATCACCAAATCCAGCCCATGACCCAACACCCCCACATCAGCCAGAGCACGGCACCAAGTGCCACATCCAGCCTCTCCTTAAACACTTCCAGGGACGGTGACTCCACCACTTCCCGGGGCAGTGCATCCCACTGCCTGAGCACCCTCTCCATGAGGAAGGGCTGCCTGAGATCCGACCTGAACCTCCCCTGATGCAGTTTCAGGCCGTGCCCTCTCGTCCTGAGTTTCAGGCTGTGTCCTCTTGTCCTATCACTGGTTGCCTGGGAGAAGAGCCTGACCCCTACCTGACTACAACCTTTCTTCAAGTAGTTGTAGAGAGTGATAAGGTTCCCCTGAGTCTCCTCCTCTCCAGACTAAACAACCCCAGCTCATTCAGCCTTTCCTTATATCTCAATTTACTCCTGGGATTCCAATGAGGAATTAAGTTTATGGGTTGTGAGTTGAAAACTGAAAAATCAGTTTCACAGCAGCTCAGTGTATAAAGCTATTTACTACCTTGCTCCTACTGGCTGTGACTCCTGGTCCAAATCTCCAGGTGTGGTTAACTCGCCAGATTACTTTGCACAAATGCTGTTCACTTGCAATGGTATGTTTTATGACTGAAATTTGAACTTCATGTACTCTGCTCGAAATAAAACCACATGTTCACCAATAACCTAGGCAAGGTCCCAGATAAAACTCTATATGCTCTATAAATTAGGTTGTGGTTAAACGCACTTGACTCTAATGATTCAGCTTTTTAAAATACGGTAAAAAGACTAAGTTGAGTTTTGCTTGTTAACGGATATGGATTATGTTCAGAAGGTCAGAGAGAATTCACTTTGTTAAACACATTTCTTTTGATCTCATTAGATTTTCATTGGTACAAATTTATTCCTACAAATTTCCTCAGCAATTAAAAAGGAAGATCTGTTCAGCTAGGTACTGGAAAACATGAAAACATGCACACGTTGAAATAAAAAAGTAGCATCTAACTATTTCTTACTTCCAGAAAACAATGGAGAAAAAACTGAAAAGCTTACATCCTCCCAAGCCATTCAGTGGAAGTATAGGAAATGAGTAGTCCTGGTGCTGAAAACACTGAGAGAATTTGTCATCTACTTCTATCTGAAGAAAGCTCAAACACTTCAGCTGATGAAACAAGACAACTGCTACTATGGCTGTCTGACCCCAGTGGCAGAACTATGTACACTGCAATGATGTTGCATCATTTGGAAGAGACCTCAAAAGAACCTCTAGTCCGACCCCTGCCAGAGCAGGGTCACCCAGAGCAGCCACACAGGAACGTGTCCAGGCGGGTTTGAAAGTCTCCAGAGCAGGAGACTCCACACCCTCTCTGGGCAGCCTGGGCCAGGACTCCAGCACCCGCACAGGGAAGAAGTTTGTCCTAATATTTTTGTGGAACCTCCTGTGCTCCAGCTTGTACCCACTGTCCTTTGTCTTATTAGTCAGAACACACTTTCATTTCTTCAGGCAATGTACATTCTGGCAACCACAACACTTTTTAATCACCTCAGACTATATGACGGAAACTCAAAGAATATTTATAAAGCACAGAATCATCGGGGCTGGAAAAGCCCTGTGAGATCACCAAATCCAGCCCATGACCCAACCCCCCCACATGGGCCAGAGCACGGCACCAAGTGCCACATCCAGCCTCTCCTTAAAGCCCTGCAGGGACAGTGACTCCCTCCTGCCCTGGGCAGGATTCAACCCTCTCCATGAGGAAGGGCTGCCTGAGATCCGACCTGAACCTCCCCTGACGCAGTTTCAGGCTGTGCCCTCTCGTCCTGTCACCAGTGACGAGGTGCCCCTCATTTACAGTAGTTAAATGGCCAGGCAAACCCAGCTGCATAATGTGTTTTAGGCAGGACCAATCTGTTCCACTTCACCTCCTCAGAAGACCCAGGATGAATGTAGACATCCTTACACTGGGTTCCATACCACAGGTACCTAAAGGCAATATGACAGAGCGCCTACTCTTGCCCAAAGGAGAAATGGACAGACACTATTCCAGTACAGTCACAGGAAATTAAGCAAAGTCTGGGAGACTTCTTAAGCAACCGGTGAGCAATGTTAACATGCTCCTTGAGCTTTGTGCCAACTAACACTCCCCCAAACAGTTGCCGGTTAGCTCAGTCGGTTAGAGCATGGTGCTTATAAGACCAAGGCCGCGGGTTTGATCCCCGCTCAGTCCCCATGTGCTGCCTGATCTAGTTGAGAGGTGTCCCTGCCCATGACAGGGAGGTTGGATTAAATGATCTCTGAGGTCCCTTCCAGCCAAGGCCATTCTAGGATTCTATGAAACAGCTGATGGGCAAGGCTTGGTAGTTAGAAAGTTCTTGGAACTGTTTCCAAAAGACTGCTTGCCTGCAACGACCCTCTTGAGGAGGCTAAGGAAGGCCACAAGCAGCTATACATACACATACACACATATACACAGAGGCTGTCCCATGCCAGCTGGCCAGAGTGACCAGCGACGTCCCTGCTAAGCGCACTAGCAGAGATATGGCCTTTAACGCCAGTTCCTGTTCCCCATATGGGCAGAGGAAGGTGTAAAGCTGGTGCAAGGTGCCATGGAGCTATGCATCACTCTCTTTGCCTCTTTAAACAGGAACGTATTTATTTTTCTATTTCGCAGTTGCTTTCCCATCCTGTTGTAGCATTTCTAACAGGACCCCTGACAGGAGTCATAACCGGGGCATGACCCAGACAACTCCTGAAATGTCGTCTCCTAAGCAGAGATGTCATATACATTCAAATGAAAAACAGTAGGGGTTTTTTAAGTTTATTTTAATTAAAAGTTTCAAAACTAAATATATATATAAAATTTATTAATTTATACAATTTAAATATATCTAAATATATACTAAAAGTATGCAAATGCTACTTGCTACGAAATAGAAAACCATACAAGTAGTACCTTTCTCATACCCCACACGGATGCAGGGTTTTACCGACTCCTCTGTCCCTGTGTCCCATCCGGCAGGTTTGGAAGGCGGCACTTTCCCAGATCGATCCAGCAAACTCAGAACGTGGCAACCAATTGTCTCCTCCACGGCCACAGTCGTCTTCACAACTTCTAAAAGAATCTTCATGAGTTTCTCGTTCGCCTTCTGGAAAATGTGCCTGCAGGGGAGAAACTGATCAGTCTTCCGATTCTCCCCTGCTTTCCAAGTGGTTTTTATCCCTTACACACCTTTGCAACCAGGAAAGATTTTCAGTTGAAACAGTAAAACTAAGATTTCTCTTATAAGACTAAATCCCACATCATATACATAAATACTAGACGCACATTTGTGATGTAAGTCAGGTCTTTTTACAAAACATGTAATAACAGTTTATCGATACTTGCACTTTTATCTTGTTATTCTTTTGAAACAGAGGTCTACACTTGCCCAGTATTCATTATCAACTTAACTCTTCTCAGAGTGTCAATTGAAAAGATTGTTTGTCTACCCAGATCAAGAAAGTTAGTCTAAACAGAATAGTCTAAAGCTATAATCAAACACTCATATAAACTTATTTCAGATACATACACATTCAACAGCTATACAAATACACGTCTGTAAATGATGTATATGATTTTCTATGTGTGTAATATGAAAGATATAATAAAATACGTTAATATTTTTCTCATCCTCTATGTCATTACATCATTAGGCTTCATTAAAAATAAGACTTGTTTAACCTAATGTGTAGATTAGAAACATGGTTAGCTATGGATCAGAAATATGCCATTATCAGTCACAATAAAGCTTATAATAACCATTAATTTAACAACAGAAACATAATTCTCAAATTATTTTTTTTCAAATTATGTTTTCTTAACAGTTCTAAGCACCTTTCTTTAGAAAGAAGAGATGAAGACGTTTCATTAGTCTTTCTTCCTCCATCTTCTTCCTCAAAGACCTGTTCTCCCACATCGTTTTCGTTTTCAGTTTCATTCTGAGCAAGTTTTTGCAGAGGGAGGGAAGACAAAAAGAACAGAAATCCTGTCATGACAGAATCAACATATGCAGTAGAATATGAAATTTAAAACCTAAATTAGTTGTGTTTTGCTACGCCAAATGACAAATCTGGTGTGTCTGCATCAAATTACAAATCAAGAAACACTCTTCCCGTATGGAAAATTTAACTAGAATATGAATAACAGCAAACCAGGAAATCCAAGGCAGGGCCTATTAGAAAGAACTTTGCTGTGCTGATTCAGCAGTCCTTGTGCTTTCTGTGGTGTTGCGATAGCAATGTGAAAACATGATTTTACCTGAGCAAATAGCTATAGTCATAATCCCCACATTCAAGCTGTCAAACTTACTAGCGTTTACCTGAAGTAAAAAAATACGCGTACTAGCACCACATCTTGATTCTTCAACCTGCTCTGCTCAAGCAGTCCCCAACATGCCTTAGGAAATTATATTACATAAAAAGATTAGCAGCAAAAGGAATCTTACTGGTTTTACATGCCACAGCTGCCAAGAAGGTCAAAGTCCGCATTTACCTCTGTTTGTGTGCTGTTGTTCTGTAGCTCACAAAACAGTTTATCTTTTCCGGGTACAGAATGTTGTTTTAATGATTCCAGATCTTCTAAAAGCATTGTCTCTCTCTCTGCAACCAGGCTGTCATTCTCCATTGAGACACGCTACGAAAGAAGTAGTATAGAGGTACACGCAATTTTATAAGCTTCTGAGTATTAGTGAGCTCTGTCAGTTCTAATTTTTTACACATTCTGCACAATGCAATTTCAGTCCACTTCTTTAAATGGTTACAAAGACACTGAAAGCTTTCTAGAATGGAATACAGGTGAGGTATACTTTTGGTATTTTACACCTTTTTTTTTCAGATTTTCATAGCATTTGTATGCTCTTTATGAAACACAGTGGTCTTAATGCAAACTGAAAGGTTATTTTCTAACAGTTACATGCAATAGTGCATGCTTCACATCACAAAAAAGATGAAAATAAGTTCTTTTTATAAAAAGCCTATGTACACGCTTTCTTTAGAAGAGCCTGAGGTGTTCATGGCTTAAACACAATGCACATGTTTCTTATAGGTAAACTGTCCTTGATATTAAAAACTGGAAAAAAGCCAGCAGCAGAGGTTCTACTCAATGTTTTTCATCAGTTGCAGGAGTCTGCAACCACTGACAAGGATGCAGTTGCAAATTGACAAAGAGGTAAAAGGAGAAAGGATGTATATTGATAGGAAAGAGAAATTCTTCTGGATTCTGTTTGTCTTTCAAGGGAAAGAATTCTTGAAGATAAGTCTGGAAATGACATAATTTTTGATGACTTGACCATTAAATTAATAAGTTCCATTAGGAGACCTACTATAGCCTTTGAATACACACAGAGTGACAGCAAGTTAAGCTTAAAAAAGGCAAAGGAATGTTGGTGTTTCCCACCAAACCCCACAGATTTTGTTTCATTCTAACAGTCAAAAAGGACTTCACCTCCCATGATTTAAAAAAAAAACAAAAAAAAGCCAGAACACACTGCTGCAGGAAGCCACTGATACTGTTCAGATCTCAAGTCAGGAGGAGGAAAAATGACGAATCCTGTAGCCTTCTGAACCTTGGCGGGTGGCTTCACTGGTGTAAATGGATGCTACCAGCATCCTGCCCAAGGCCATGTACCTAGAAAGTGGCTAGTTTGCAACACATCCGCACTCCTCCACTCACTCTTCTGACTGCTGTGCAGCACTGCAGGTTTTCTCCAAGTTTACAGAAGTCTAAATTGATTCATTGCTGACTGAGTTTGATTAAAGAAACGTATTTTTTTATATATATATATATGCATATCTGTGTTTGAATGTATACACACACAAATCTATTTACTATAATCTATCTGTGGGTATATGCATATGTTTGTACATACACACACACAAAGAGGTTGTGTGTGCGCACATGAGTGTGTATGCACGCACACAGTAAATATGGGTGTTTCTCTCAAGATGTATAGAGATACAGTATAAGTAAATATAAATCTGCACCGTAAGGTCCCTTTGTTAACTCACTGAGTCAAACTCCATATTACCTCAGCTAATTGCACTTTAAGACTCTCAAGCTCTGCTAGGAGCTGCTCTTGATTTTCCTTCTGACGTTCCATTTGCTGCATGTGCCCTTGTCTCAGTAATTCTGTCGCCTGCTGATGTTCCTGATATTGCCGTACCAGCTCCTGTCGCATGTCTTCCAAACGTTCCTCATACAGCAAAAGCTGACTTGATGTTTCTGCGTCTACTGCCGCCACCTCGCTGTAGTGCTGGAATATTGAAACTGTTTTAGAACTTTACATTCACTAACAGTTTCTAGTGAATATTTAAATAAATTTCAGAAAATACTTTCACAAATTAAAGCAGCTATCACAAAGGCATTACTTTGTTGCCTGCTTATTGGAAGGTACAGGCTTAGAATCATTCTCTATTTAAAAGACAAGTTTTTTAAAAGAACTGTAAACAGTGATAATTCTGACGCTTGTTAGCTGGCGGAGATCTCAACAGTGGCAGACAGACATGCATGTAAGTGTGTGTAAAACAGCAGAAGTTTGCGAGCAGTATCATCCAAAATAGGGACACTGCAGTTTATTCATTATCAAGATAATACAAGATCAGAACATTTAACTATTACACAAATCTGAAAGAGTAGATTTTTGCTTCTACTAATGCCAAATTTAATTAAAATAAATTAAACTCAGAACGAACTTGTGGATTCAAACTGTATGACTTTTTTTCACCATATTTATTCCACCTTATTCCTATCTCATGTTTGGGGAATGCTAAATACACATTTTATACTACTTTTATAATTTTTGTGTTCAGTTGATATTCTTTATTACAAGGGACTTAACTCTTTAAGCACTATTTTTAATCTGTTCCTTGTATAAAAACTAGAATATAATCTCGCTTATAAAATGTCTGTATATATTTTATTGCCTACAATACAGTTTTAACCATGAAATGGAATAATTTGTTTTCACATAACCAGTGTCCTTTCCTCACAGCACAGGATAATGCTATGATGGGCAGAACATGGGAGAGAAGGTCTAAAGTTGTCACCTGTTTGAAACAGAAATACTTAAAAGGAATTTTCATCTTAATTTCTCAGCTGCTTTCTTATTGAAATGAACTGTAAATCCACTGGAAAGATTATTCACATACAGAGTTACACACTGCCAGTTTTTTTTTTTACACTTACTGGTGTTTCTTCCACTGTAAGCCCTTTGACATGGGAAAACAGTTCTTCAGAAACCCCTGATTCGGGGGTGGTCTGTCCTAATAGGCAGCCAGGCTTGCTGTCAGAATGAAGGTGTTGTCCAAGTGAGTTGATCTCACCAGACTCTTCATTGAGCTCCTTGCAAAGCGATTTCAACTGTTCTTCAAGCTCACTGCCTTCTTCTGTTGATGTTCTAAGAGGACTGTCATTCTTTCCTTCACCACATTGCTTTTTAACTTCAAAATGCATCACCTGTTGACGTACAATCTGTGTTTGTGCTGCTTCTTCCTTCTGCCTAGCAATTCTTGAGAGTTCAGTCTGTTTGGCAAATGCTACACTCATTGACACGATTACCTGAATAAAGAAGAAAAGTGTGTATTAGTTGATGCTTCACAGCATCTCCTGTTGCTGAAGAAATCTCATTGCTGACCATCAATAACATAAATATAAGTACTAAAAGTTCTGAACTACGATTCTTTTTTCTTCCTGAGGAAAACAGAATAGAGACACCTTGCTAATCTTATCAACAGTTACATCTTAAACCACAGACATGCTGTATTTTCACCAAGGTGCTGGAGCATGTCCAGGGAAGGGTAACAAAGCTGGTGAAGGGTCTCGAGAACAAGTCTTACGAGGAACAGCTGAGGGAGCTGGGGCTGTTTAAGCTGGACAAGAGGATGCTGAGAGGAGACCTTCTCACTCTCTACAACTGCCTGAAAAGAGGTTGTAGCAAGGTGGGGGTTGGTCTCTTCTCCCAAGTAGCTAGTGACAGGTCTAAAGTTGCACCAGGGCAGGTTTGGAATGGGTATTTAGGAAAAATTTCTTTACTGCAAGAGTGGTGAGGCACTGGCACAGGCTGCCCAGGGAAGTGGTGGAGTCACCACCCCGGAAGGTGTTCAGAAAATGTGCAGACGTGGCACTTTGGGGCAGAGTTTAGTGGTCATGGTGGTGCTGCGTTGACAGTTGGACTTGATGACCGTAGAGGCCTTTTCCAAACTTCATGTTTCTATGATTTAAGATAGTTAATAAACTATGATGATGATATTTTCAGTTGGAATGTCTTTTATAGCATAGAATTACCTAGTTCTTTTTAAAAAAGGTTTGATAAAGTGACTTTTAAAAGTCCTGGCACGCTGACATAAGTGCAGCTGTGCTAAGCTTCCTCTGTCCAATCCAGCATCCTTTGTAAGCATTTCACTGACATGGAATTTTGGGTTGTATAAAGACAGCAGGGCCACGTGCTTGATACTCAGCACAGGAATTTTTACTTGACCAGAAAGAAACTTCTACTAGTATTGACTATTAGTATATAAATAAAATTCTAGTGGTATTCAAGCTGCAGCTACAACAGGCTGAAAACTTGCATATTGCCACAGATCTCCTCCTAAAACAAATACACCCCGTTTCCAATCATGCAAGCAGTTCTCTTCTAGATTTATAATACAGCCATTTAAAGCATAAGCTACAGGAAGTGTGAAAAAAAAGTACAATGAATACAGAAGCATTAGGCTTGAAAACACCTAACTCTTTCTTTACAGAAAATGAGTTTGTCTGCTTAAACTACTCTTAACAAAACACTAGCCAACTGTGTATTTTGCTTTCCCCTAAAGAAGGGTCCTTGATGACAGCAGATGAGAAAAATGGAACTTTTACTACAGAAACATGGATTACTTTTTAATAAGTATTCATTTATTTTTTTCCATTTTTTAATTTATATTAATTCGATTTTTCTTTATGCCGTGATATAATGAAAGCAGAGATACTTTTTCCTTCTGCAAAGAGATGGAAACTTTTCTGGAAGTCAAAAAGTCAAAAACCAATTTAATATATTCTACCTATAAAATCTTAATTTTGCTTTTCATGTTTTTCCAAAAGTCATCGGATTTTAACAAAAGCTATGCATTTTACAGAAAATGCACAATAAAATATGATCAGAAAATAGTGTTCAACTGTTAAATGTAAAAACTGACCTGCTGTTAAGCCTAAAGTAGCAAGAAATCCACTCTCCTGAGCCTCTAAATTTTATTTATTTTCTAAATAAATTCTAGCATCAGGTATGGTTGCACACTGTCTATTTTCTTTCAAGTTTTAAAGCAAATATCACCACGACCCACATGAACAGAAATTACAAGTTAGGAACAGAACAGACAACCAAAAAAACCCAAAATGTTTCAGAATATTTTTTAAAGACTTTACTGTTCAGAATCTGAATTAAACAATTCCTTTTAAATAAATCAAACAAAAGCTAGCATATGTCTTAATTGTCAGAAAAGGCAAATGAAAATACCAGTATTTTGTAAAAAAATTTTGAAGTAACAAAATAAAAATAATACCTTTGCTATTTCTTCTTCTAATCTTTCTTGGTACTGTTTTTCTAGCAATTGGAAAACATCCAGAGCATTCTGCATTTCCGTTTCACTAGCAAGCTGTAAGAAAACCAAGAAATCTCAAGATCAAGTACTGCGTTTTTATTTCACTAATTACAATATAAATTTAATATAAATTTAACACAACATAATTTTAATATAAGTAGATCGTATATTATATATAAGTATATAATACATAAATTTAAGACATTTATAATACAATTCAACCAGTATTTTTTCCTCAGTTAGGTTATCTTCATATTGTGCAAATCCCATAATTTTGTATCAAAATATTAAAAAGCCGGTAAAAAAACTCTGTTTCTGCTTGAAAATTAATTTTTAAAGTTGAGTTTGCAACAACCCTTCTTCAAGCACAATTTGAATTGTCAAATGCAGAGAAAGGTGGTGAGAAAGCAGAGGATCACAGTACAAAACAGAATCACTGTTTTTCAAAGTACAGGATTTCTCAGCCAGATTTCCAGCCGTACTTGGGTAGGAATGTACGGGGTCTTTTCTATTTGCATTTAATTTCTAATACTTCTTCCAAGTTTCTCCTAAACTGTGCATCTCATACTTCAAAAATGCTAGGATTTCACTTAAATGGTTCTTCTTTCATAACCAGTGTTTAAAGAAAAGTCACAATATTTTAAACACTGCTGAAGAAATCCCAAAATCTGAGCACTATTTTTCTTCCACTTTAACAAGAACCAGCTCAGTCTAAATGTCTTTTTTCAGAGGAGAAAAGAAAAATAAGACAAAAAAAAGGTAAACCCAGGACCAGTAAAGCAAGTTTTATTGCTCATCATTTCCAGAAATACTTTTCTGCAAAATTTAAATATTTTTCCTCTAACATGGGCTGTCTAACAGTATAGCACAGCGTTGATAGTTACTTTAATACTACCAAATATTAGTTCATATTTCAAAAGCCTCTAAATAACATTGACCATATATACATGATATGTGAACTGAATTACGCGATACCTCCAGTGCTTCATCTCTTCTTTGCTGATGAACATTTTCAGTGCACTTCCGTTTCCTGAAGACATCTTTTAGCTTTATTTCTGACTCTTTGGATACACTGAAAACATAAAAGAAATGGGGGGGGGACACACAAATAAAAGATCGAAAAAATCAGTATCTCACAGAATCATACAATGTTGGGGGTTGGAAGGGAGCTCTGGAGCTCACCCAGTGCCACCCCCTGCCAGAGCAGGGTCACCCAGGGCAGCCACACAGGAACGCGTCCAGGTGGGTTGGAAAGTCTCCAGAGCAGGAGACTCCACACCCTCTCTGGGCAGCCTGGGCCAGGGCTCTGGCACCCGCACAGGGAAAAAAAAAAGCGTTTCCTAACGTTTTTGTGGAACCTCCTGTGCTCCAGCTTGCACCCGTTGCCCCTTGTCCTGTCCCTGGCCATCCCTGAGCAGAGCCTGGCTCCGTTCTCCTGACACTCCCCCTTTCCATATTTATAACCATGAATGAGGTCACCCCTCAAGGTCCTGTTCTCCAAGCTGCAGAGCCCCAGCTCCTTCAGCCTTTCCTCACCAAGGAGATGTTCCATCCCTCCATCATCTCTGTGTTCATTGAACACAATTCATTGTATATTTAGATAACATACTGAATTATACCCGAGTCTGTCTTTCCAGCAGAACCACTCTGTATCATCAGAGTGCTATACATCAGTAAAAAGATGCAGCAACAAACCAGGTAGGGAGGCTGAGTACGTAAGAGATCATTCAAACGGCTTCTGACTACAACCATTAAAAGACATTCATCTTAAGGCTTGAGATGTAACAAGACAGACCTCCATACTCAGTTGTAAGAAACCCATTTATGTACTTATCTATGAAATTTTTGTGTATAACTCTAGCTTGGACTTTTTTTAAAGGATGAAAAAATAACTGATTAAAAAGCCACACAGTCCTTTAAAATTGAGCTCAGGCTCATAAAAGTGTATAAACATTTGCAGAATGTGGCCTTCTTATACACCTCGAAACAAATACATAAGTATAAATTCATATGAGGAAAAAGTTGGGCTTTTTACCTGCCACTTTCAAGACTAAAAACATATTTTAAGGAAGGAAAGGAAAACTTTAAAAATTAGAAAGACACAGAAAGGCTGTGACCAAACAATAAGGGGAAAATAGCTGCTTGGGTTCTGATGAATCATACATATGAAATGACATTTATACATGTACATATCAAATATTCCTCTATTAACTATAAGAACGTAATAAATTCTAAGAGCTGCACTACTTGCTTGGCATTTTTTATATCATTTTTTCATAACACTCTTAACTCTTGAAGGATCAAAACAACTTAAGAGTAATGTGTTTATAAAGAACTTCTCAAATTTTGAAGTAAAACACGTAGCTTTACGTGACTGGTTATCTGAAACGCTTCTTTCCATACCCAGTGCAAAGTTATAAGGGCTAAGGAACTGAAAAATACCTCGTGTGGCCAGGGGATACCCCAGCACTCTGAAGCTTATCCTGCAGGTGGACAATCTCTGCGGTGTACCTCTCTTCACTTTCCTTCAGCTGCTGTTGGAAATAGGAGCGGAGGCGTTGCAGTTCTTGAGCATGCTGTCCTTCAAGTTGTGTTTTAAGGCTCCCTATCTCCTTCGAACTGCACTCTTGAAACTTAGCATCTATATGTAGGTTATTTGGAAGGAGGAATAATAAATTACATTAGTATAAAATAACTTTCGCCCAGGTTACTAGCAGTGATGGATCAAGTAACTGCTGTAGTTAAAAACGTCTTCTGATATGGTATCAACTACTTTTCCATAACAAATAATTATAACTTAATCTTCTGTTTTGCAAAACTGTATCTGATATGGGTAAAAGAATTTTACCTGTGGAAAGCTGAAAAAGACTGAACCAAAACTGTTTTGCATAATGTAATCCTGAAATACTTTAGAAATTGAAGAAAATCAGAGTACCATACCACAAAATCTGCAAAAATCTGTTACGCGTTTCAAGTTTAGTAAGCTAGTAATCAGTTAAAATTTAAAGTCATTGTCTTCTCTCTCTCTCTGAATATATGTACATTAAAACCACCATATGCATCTTTTTACCCATTAGACCTTGTGAAGGGGTCTGCAGACATTTCTTTCTTCTTTCCAGATGGTTAGGTTCCTCCTCTTTTCTCCTGTCTGAAGATAGCCATGGTTCTTTGATCTAAAAAATAATCAAGTAAATACAAATGACAACAATTTGTCAAATAATAATGCAAAAATATTAGCTGTAATTATAAAAGTGTAAGAAAGATTTGTGGCCAATGTATGCAGTGTAACAATGCGTTTCATTTTACAGCCTGAATGATCAAGTATGAATTCACAGCCAGTTGATCAGTCTGTGCAGAATGTCCACTGTGTACCTCAAACTCCTCTCTCTGGATGTAACCTGTTAAGTCATAACTTCTCTGATTCCAGGAGCATGAGCTCCAACAAGTCAAAATGCAAGGT